ACATTACAAACATAATATATATACTTCCCTATAAGAACATGAATATATGCAATAAATAATTTTTTTAAATATACAAAAAAAAAAAATGTTATATATATATATATACATTATTACAAGCCTTCTTGACCATTTTTGACTTCCCTCCAACGATACCAAAACACTAGATAGGAACAACAGACAAATCTGCAGCAACCAGCGCGACACACACCTACCAACCATTTCGGACCAAGGAGTCGTCTCCCAAATTTCATCAAAAAATAAGGATAGGATATAGCAAAGGCGACTCCTGCCCACCCCCTGAGGGAAGGCAACTTCCCTCACGCCGACAGAACACCCCAACTTCCGTCAGTGAGATGAAACCTGTATGGGCGAAATCATGTCAGCGAAAAACCCTTCAACCAACCAACCAACCAACCGCACGGTCCCACTACAAACAGAACACATTACATCTCCAACTTACACGCAGGCATACACACATCAGGAGATATAAGCCAGGTGGCACAGGGCTAGTAGTTAGCGCCTGATAAGGCAGCTCCTGCGAAATCCTCAAAATTGTATATGCTTATTGTATCAATTGTATATCTATGTACTGTACAGCGCTATAGAGTGGCTTATGTTAGCTAGATAGGGCACTATATCAAATGCTGTGTATTATTATTATCATTATTGACTTTCTTTGTTAATTTGTGATGGTAACTTTAGTAGACTCTACCATACACTTATCTCGACGAGTCCATTCTGGTCTACAGTGGTGAAAGGGTTTAAGCAAAAATAGACAGAGAGGAGTACAAATATTTACAGTACGTCATCATAATAAAAGAAATTTATACTAAATATTGTATTCAATAGCAATGCTACAGAAACGTAAACTTACACTCCACAAAAATGTTAACTTTGAGTTAAGTACACAACTCTAACCTTGTTGTGTCCTATGCCAGCTGAACACCTGTATCCAGTTTCTCTGTAAACTGCAGCCCTCATGTCCTCCGCTATCTTCGCCCCTACAGCCAGGCGTTGGTTCGCTTCACCAAACTCCTGACCATCGTACACAGAAGTCAGCCAATCCTCTACCCCATTCTCGCCTGTAATTTTTCATATATTCTATTGGCCACAATGTGTGAATAAACTACTTCAAAAATCTTATTGACGCAAACTGATCAATATTTTACAAAAGTCCATCAACACAACCAAGACAACCAAAACAGGCATTACGCATTTTACAAAAAAGACACTTACCTTGGTTTCTAATATAAAGAGAATTGAATTAGTATTAGCCGGATAAAAATATTAATCACAGGTGCACAATATCAAAGTGTGCCGACTGCATAAGTGAAGCTTCATGAAATTCAACTGAAAACTGTAAAAGTTATGTAGACAAGATTGTGTTGGCTAACTTTTGTAAAAAGGGGCATAACTCAATTAAAAACTGCCTGATAAAGATATCAATCCCAAGTGTTCAATTTCCGAATGTGATGATTACATCAGTAAAGTTTCATGAAATTTGGCTAAAAACTATAGGAGGACTTGTCTGGACAAACTTGTGTCTACAGACAGACAGACAACCCAATTCCAGTATCCCCTCCCTCTAACTTGGTTACGGGGTATAATTAAATGGTAGTTACAAATACACATGAAAATTAGTATTAGCTATTGATTCTTACCTTTCCCATCATTTCCAACAATGTAGGTGTTTTGAAGATCCGTGACCTTAATCTTGCCTGCCTGCTGGATTATCCTGTCAACCTCCTCGGTGAGGTCAATGTAGGCCTCGTCCACGCTGGCTCGCTCCACACACTGACTGAAGGTGCTGAGCACTGTGATCACCTCAGCTCCAGCGTCTCTGTACCTGTGATAAAACATAACTACAGTGACAATGCGGAAAACATTACATCATTACAGCTCGGTGCAAGCACAGAGGTCAACAAGTGCACCTGACCGGATTCTAAATCCACATGTTCATGATGAAGGCCCAACTAGTGAGCAAAAACATGAAGTTTACATTGGATTTGAGTTGTTGATAAAACCCAGCTGATGTTGTAGGAATGGACTCAATGTTTCCTGTTTGTTTACAGAATATCACTGACAGTGATCAGATAATCATATGGTTCATCAGTTATATACACTGCTATTGGATACTGTCCAGAGAAAACTTAAAAAATTGAGAGAAAAATTGTCAGAGGAAAACATGATATTGAGTTCCGGGACTCTAAACAGGTGGAGACCAGTATATATACCTTCCTATTGAGGTCAGCTTTGCTGCAGAGTTCTTGGACCCTAAACAGGTGGAGACCCGTATACTTACTTAGTGAGGTCAGCTTTGCCACGGAGTTCCGGGACCCTAAACAGGTGGAGACCAGTATACTTACTTAGTGAGGTCAGCTTTGCCGCGGAGTTCCGGGACCCTAAACAGGTGGAGACCAATATACTTACTTAGTGAGGTCAGCTTTCCCGCCGAGTTCCGGGACCCTAAACAGGTGGAGACCAGTATACTTACTTAGTGAGGTCAGCTTTGCCGCGGAGTTCCGGGACCCTAAACAGGTGGAGACCAGGACACTTTTTCCTTGCGTCGTCACCCATCATATTTCTGGTCACTCCAAATGCCCGCGCCTCATATCCCACTGCTATCAGTCTTAAATGAAAATCAAACAAATTGTTAAGAGATGTTAAAATCGATTCACAATGAAACATAGACTTGTTAACTATATATATACAGAAACATGCGAATGTTGCTAACTATATAATTCTCCTGGCACAATGCTTTTTTTCTGTTCTACCATGCATGCTGCTAACCAAAATTTCAAAATTAATGTAAAGCACCTTTAAAATAAAGTTTGTGGAGAACACTGTGTGCGTCTAAAATAAGATCAAAGCTTTATATTAAAGTTGTACAGGCTCAGGGAAGGCCATAGAAACCATGGAGACAGGCATTCTAGTAGTTAATTCTTAATCTGAGAATCCCCGTCTGAACCTATTTGCATTATCATAGTGACATGTATATATTTAATTTCTAGTTAAATGTGCATATGTTTCGCCACACAAACCTATATTTATCCAACATCTATGATCAATTTTTTTTTTTTGCATTTCACAAATTAGTGTGTTAAACCCTCCGTACTTACCCACCACCCTTCCATTTTTTGTACTGCGCTACAGCACATGGTTTTCCTTTATAATGAGGCTGGAGTTTCTGCTCCACTTGGACATAGAAACAGTCCATGTCAACAAGGGCAACGACTCGATTCATCTCGACTTCAATCAGCAAATCATCAGCTGCTAAGGAAGGTATAAATAAAATCTTGTTGATGTTTATCATTAAAAGAAAATAATCATTTTAAGAACTATTTAGTTGTACTGCTGTGCTATATATAATCTTCTTGATGATTTCCTATAAGGGATCGTAATAGGACCCATACTTTTTTTTATCTACATAAATCTCCAGTAGCACAAAACTTTTCACCGATGGCTCAAAGATCTACAAAACAATCAACAATGGAGAGGATCGCTATCCAGTAAGACCTCATCTTAATATGTGAATGGACGACCACATGGACATGGCTTACTAAACTTAATGTGGATATATGTAAACACCCCAAAATCAGACAGAAGACCATCATCAATTAGTCCGAAATTATTCTGACGTTTTATTGACTTTTTTCATATCGGTCTGTCTTCGATTAACCGACGACAGACCGACATGAAAAAAGTTGATAAAACGTCAGAATAATTCGGACCAAACATCAACATACTGTAACGGAGTGGGTAATTCTCACCATTGTTGGGGACGTTTGTGACATGTCATGCACTAGCTAGTTATTGTTTATATGTTGATCAGCTGATCACTATTATTATATGTAAACTGCATGTTCTAATATGATTTTTATGTAATTTAACAAGTCTTGTATATATTAGTTATTGTTTTAATATAGTTTAGTTACACGTGAAAGAAAATGGTCTACTGTATAGTTTTCTTGGATAAATAATTACATAACAGTTATGTAACATGTACGTTACACCACGGACTTAGATAATTCCGTGGTTACACAAAAGATCAATGCAAAGGATACAATAATATTGTAGTATATGTTTAAGTTAAAAGAAGCAATGTCATATAGACACAATTACGTTGAAATTACAAGAAATTACTAGAAAAGGCGTTCTCACCTCAATTGTTCCTTAAATTTCGCGGAAAACTGCAGTGCGCATGTGTAGTGAAAGTTACCTTCATTCAAGAGAGAGCTCCGATTTGTCATTTTGCGGGAGATTTTGTCCGTCTGCCTACGGTCTGTGTCTGACAGGTGAAGTAATTCATTTTCGGTTTGCATTACTTACGGACATACCTTGAGAGAAGAAAATACGAACGTAAGATACTGCTACACATTTCGGTGCCCAGTAATTTTGGTAGCCTCTACCTCTTTTTAAGGCCGAATTATTCTGATGTTTTATCGTGGGTTTTTTTTATCGGTCTGACCGATATATAAAAACGTCGATAAAACGTCAGAATAATTCGGACTATACTACCTCATACTTGCCAACTTTTTGAAATTTCTATGGGTAGATTACACATGGCCTAAATTAAAATAAATGCATAAATTGAATATTTCTATTTACCCGTACGCCAGAGGGAATATAGCACTTTTCAATGTCATCTTTTGAGTTGCTCTTTCAGATGAAATTGTCAGATCTTAGAAAATAGAAATAGTTTAGTGAATTCAGTGGTTGAAAATGCTCATTATTTTTGGCCCCAAATCGAGAGTATGCTCCTATTAGGGAGAGTTGGCAGGTATGCTCACAGGTGTTTGAAATTCTGACTGTTAATTGAGATATATATATCATTAATAAATAAGGGTATTACTATAAAGAAAGTATATATACCCGGTAATAATACCCTTATTTTTTTATATGATATATATCTCAATTTACAGTCAGAATTTCAAGCACTTGTGGTATATATGCTACCTAAGTATAGGATAGACAAGCACCTGTGCTATATATGCTACCTAAGTATTGGATAGACAAGCACCTGTGCTATTTATGCTAGGATAGACAAGCACCTGAGCTATATATGCTACATAAGTATAGGAAAGACAAACACCTGTGTTATATATACTACCTAAGTATAGGATAGACAAGGACCTATGTTATATATGCTACATAAGGATAGGAAAGACAAGCACCTGTGTTATATATGCTACATAAGTATAGGAAAGACAAACACCTGTGTTATATATACTACCTAAGTATAGGATAGACAAGTACCTGTGCTATATATGCTACCTAAGTTTAGGATAGACAAGCACCTGTGTTATATATGCTACCTAAGTATAGTAAAGACAAGCACCTGTGCTATATATTCTAGGATAGACAAGCACCTGTGCGATATATGCTACCTAAGTATAGGATAAACAAGCACCTGTGCTATCTATGCTACCTAAGTATAGGATAAACAAGCACCTGTGCTATATATGCAAGGATAGACAAGCACCTGTGCTAAATATGCTACCTAAGTATAGGATAGACAAGCCCCTGTGTTATATATGCTACCTAAGAATAGGAAAGACAAGCACCTGTGCTATATATGCTATCTACGTATAGGATAGACAAGCACCTGTGTTATATATGCTACCTAAGGATAGGATAGACAAGCACCTGTGCCATATATGCTACCTAAGTATAGGATAAACAAGCACCTGTGCTATATATGCTAGCTAAGTATAGGATAGACAAGCACCTGTGTTATATATGCTACCTAAGTATAGGAAAGACAAGCACCTGTGCTATATATGCTAGGATAGACAAGCACCTGTGCTATACATGCTACCTAAGTATAGGATAGACCAGCACCTATGCTATATATGCTACCTAAGTATAGGATAGACAAGCACCTGTGCTATATATGCTACCTTAGTATAGGATAGACAAGCACCTGTGCTATATATGCTATCTACGTATAGGATAGACAAGCACCTGTGCTATATATGCTACCTAAGTATAGGATAGACAAGCACCTGTGTTATATATGCTACCTAAGAATAGGAAAGACAAGCACCTGTGCTATATATGCTAGGATAGACAAGCACCTGTGAGTTAAAAAATGAAATTATCAGATTCCTACACAGAGTTAACTGTCATTAAGCATTTGCATTTTTATTTTAAAAAAGTGAATTATTTAACACGGTATGCCACCTGTAAACTCCCTTATTCCTTAGAAATGGATGTAAAACACATTGTTGTGTGTATTGATTATAAAGAGTTATTGAATATTAGTAACAAAAAATGTCAGAAAATGACTGAAAAAAAGTTAAGGAGATACATACATGTCATCCTCTGCTCAACAGTGATCTGAAATATACAGTGAATGAGGAGGAATTCAATATCACATGTTAGGGGGAGATAATTCTGCTAAGCATATACATTTAAGTTATTCCATACAACATTGCCATCATGTTTTCAAGAGCTTTGGCTATGAATGAAGTTCAATACTTGCCAACTTTTCGAAATTTCCATTTCAAAATAACCCTTTAAATCACATATTTTGAGTTGTTCTTTCAGGTGAAATCCTTAGATCTTAGAATATAGAAAATTTACTAAATTTAAGTGTCCAAAATTGCGAGTCTCCCTCCTAAATAGGGAGAGTTGTCAAGTATTTACACCCCCCTCCTCCCACGGGTAGTTCTGATAATTTCATTGCTAAATTTGAAAAGATGCTTAATATTACTTGTATGCATTTAGGCTATTACTAAAAGCAGAAAAAATGTAAGGAATATAGAAAACTAAAACCATTTAATTTGTTGTGATATATTTTAAAAGTTGTTTTTAGGGAACCAAAATTCTTAGTTAAATTCGGATTTGCAGTAGATTTTTAGCCCACCATCATCTGATGGTGGGGTATTCAAATCACCCTGCGTCCGTGGTCCGTGGTCCGTCCTTAAGCAATTCTTGTTATCGGTATTTCTCAAGAAGTACCAGAAGGATCTTTCTCAATTTTTGAGACTGATCGGATAAACAACATGGTCGACAGGCAGCCGTCTTGGATTTTGAAAGTGAAAGTTTGTTATCGCTATTTCACCAGAAGAACTAGAGTAGAGGGATCTTTCTTAGATTTTATATGAAGGTTCCCCTTGGTCCTAGCTGTGCAGGGCAACTTTTGAGACTGATCGGATAAACAACATGCCCGACAGGCAGCCATCTTGGATTTTGATAGTGAAAGTTTGTTATTACTATTTCTCAAGAAGTACCGGAGGCACCTTCTCAAATTTTATGTGTAGGTTTGCCTTAGTCCTTAGCAGTGCGGGACAACTTTTGAGACTGATCAGATAAACAACATGACCAACAGGCAGCCATCTTGGATTTTGATAGTGAAAGTTTGTTATCGCTATTTCTCAAGAAGTACTCGATCAAACAGATTAGAGGAAAGAAGAGAAAAGATCGAACTGACAAAGAACTAATGCAGATGGTACAATGGTGGGCGCCAAGATCCAATTGGGATCTCTTGTTTACAACAAACTCTGAATATAGTGGAAAGAAAAACAAATATAAAATGGCATATATCATGATGTCTATAGCAACATCACACAAAAACATGGAAACTGGCACTATATATATACCACAATATAAAACTTTGGAACTATTCTATTGAAGATGCACTTCAGTCTGAACCCTTGCTTTGGTGCAGATGTACCACTGTGAACACACACCAGTGATAAAGACCGCTTACATAATACCGATGAATGAGCTCATTTTGTACTTGTTTTTTATTTCTTTAGTTGAGCAGAACAATTCAAGCTGTCAAAATGTCAAGCACAGGTTGCACCTAAATCATTTTGTGTAGCGCACCACAATAGCAATTTGTCAACATAAAGCCTGCAATGTATTGTCATAGCATATGTATATATATATATGCCAGTAAAATAAGTGATTTGTTTTGCTTAGTTTTACAGCCAAATACAGGCCAATATGTATATATGCCAGTAAGTGCACCATTTACTTTTTCTCGGGCCATTTTTGAAATGTGGAATTTGCTTTAAGAAAGAGTTTTAAAAAACCTTTTTTTTCTATCCTGTGTGATGTGCATCATCAGTGAGACTACAATTGTATTTCGGTTTAAGTCAAGACTGCCAACTAGCTAAATGAACCATGTGTGATTTTAACTTTCATAGATATGGAACAAAGATAATTTTAATACCGTAAATGCACATATTTAAGCAGTATTGGTCATCCTGACCCAAAGGGTCATCGTGCTTCGTACGTCGTCGTCCGCCGTGTGTCGTCCGTAAGCTTTCAACATTTTAAACTTCTTCTCAAGTTCCACCAGTGGGATTGAGCTGAAACTTGATCCTGAGATGGTCCTGACCAAGTGTTGTTAATTTTCATGTCGGTCCAAAATCCAACCATGGCCACCATCTTAATAAACACATTTTAAACTTCTTCTCCAGTTCCACTGGTGTCATTAAGCTAAAAATTGGTGGGGATATTAAGGAAAGGAACGCGACAAAGTGTTGTTATTTTTCAGGCCCGTCAAAACTTCAACATGGCAGCCATGGTGGCCATTTTGTAACATGATTGCACAATCATGGTTTTCCTAAAGAACACCTATTTTAAACTTCTTCTCAAGTTCCAACAGTGGGATTGAGCTGAAACTTGCCTGAAATGAACCTAAGATGGTCCTGACCAAGTGTTGTTATTTTGCGGGTTGGTCTGAAATGGAATATTTCATTGAAAGTTGAAAAGTTACCATTCTCCCTGCTCAGTCTTTGTAGTCAGATGACTGTTTATATAAATTAGACCCATGGGCCTCTTGTTATATATTGCACTCAATGAAGTTTCTGTATATTGTGTTTGCATTGCTTTTTTTTTGGGTGCTTCCTATCATCAAGGCACTAATAAGTTAAAATTTGATAATGCATTAAAACTAGTATGTGCTTATATTAAAGGTAATTTACGTTATCACAGCTTTCTTTATTTGACATGTTAAAATGTTCACTCACAAATATGAACAAGGTGTTTTTGAGGGACTTGTTATTAGACATAATTATCTGGCTATGTTGTATGTAGAAGGTAAAATATGAAAACTGCAATTTATAATTGGGAATTATGTTTGGAATGTTTTCAAAGTATTTAGCTAACATATGAGTAAACAATTAAAATATTTGTATGCAGCCTTAAGGTTTAGATAATGTCAGACTGGGGATGTGTCTTAGCTATATAGACTTCTTACGATAATGCCATCTAACCTGCCCACTCGTTAGGGAAATGGTGTTTTGGATAATTGGGGCACATGTTTTACTCGTTAGAATGAGGCCAAATTGAGGGAAGTATTTCAACAGGATGTTATATCATTAACAGCTGTTGCAGCC